GGCCAACTGAATATAAGCTTATCAATATTAGGCCGGCATCCCGGTGGCGCATGCCTGTAGTCCGCCAGCTACCCGGTGAGGGCTGAGGCACGAAGGATCCACTCGAGCCAGGAGTTGAGGTTGCTGTGAGCTAGGGCTGACGCCACAGGCCCTCCCACTCTAGCCTATGGCCCAGAAAGCGAGACTCACTGTCTCCCAAAAAAAAAAAAAAAAAAAAAGAGTGAGATGGGGCCCCCACGAGTCTCCTCCTTGCTTGTAAAGTCCTCATGTACGATGAAGTCTATGTTATTCGAATTGCTTTCCCCCCCTTGTGTGTTTCGCTTGGCTTCTTTGTCCTTAGCAGCTGCCTTAGAAAGGGGCCTCTTCATTGATAGCTTTTGGTCAGCTCCTGATGGACTGCATGTCATGACGTCATTCCCGCTGTTTGCGCTTGAATTCTCCCAGGGGTCCTCCCGAGCTTCCTTGAACTTGTATACTCGAGATTCTGAGCCAACGGCGCTGGGAAAGCTTATGCCTCTAATTATACTCAACACAGGCTTGTCCAAGCCCCTTGAGTTGTGTCCTTCCTTGCCTTCTTCGTATTCTTGTAACCCTATGACCCAACTCACCATTAGTTCTTCAATTAATCCACCAGGCTGCTTGTGCTTTGGCTCTTTTCTCTTCGTTTTGCTCTGCCTCTAATTTCTGTGGACCTGATTATTTAATTGGAGGGTGTTATCTTCCCTAAAGCCTGCTGAGATTCTTTCCGTTCTGTTTGACCCCTACCCTGTTCTGGACTTCCCAACCTGTATTTTGTAGTTCCTTGAATTGACTTCTTAATTTCCAGGAGTTCGGTTAGCACTTTCTTCATTGTGTCTAATTATCTTTTCCAACATAACTCCTGGAGACTTTTTGTGGTTTCTTTGTGTTGATTATTGAGTTTTGTGCAGGCAATGGGTGAGTGTTCTTATGATCCAACATACGAAATTCCCTCTTCTGTCATATTGGTCTGGCCTGATTTTGGTTGGTGTTCGCGTTTCTAAGGGGGGGGGCTGGTGCTCCTCCCTTTGGCTGGTGTGATTTTCCGTTTGGTTCTTCAATATTTCCTGAGTTGCTTTCGCCCCTGATTTCTTCCCCATTTGTCGATCAGCTTGTTTGTTCTTTCCTTAGGTTATGTTTGGGTATCTCACCACACCTTGTTTAGTTTACTGAGGCGTTACGGTGGTGTCTGTGGGTGAAATCGATCCCAAAAACTCCCTGTAATGAAGTCAGGTGAGGTGGCCGTGGAAAGCGCTGTGAAGATGAACGATCTCCTGTCAGTAGTGGGCGTTGCCTTGGAGGAACAGGCTACTACTGTTGATTTTGTGTCCTGGTAAGCCAGCTCTTCCCCCGTTGCTGGGCCCCCGGAGCCTGGGTTGGGTAACGGCTGCCCTCAGGTCCTTAGCTTATGTTGTCAATGTTGCTGCCTCTCTAACTCAGGTAAGAGCTGTCAGGCGGGGGGCCTGGAAATGGTCCTGGCTGCAGCCAGAAAGTCTGTGTGTGGTGGGGCCTGTCCTGAGACCCGCAGTCTGGAGTGGGGGCCTTCGCCTTCTTTCCACCCTCCCCCAACTCCACAGCTACTCCTGGGCCTCTGCCAGGCAGGCAAGACCACAAGCCACCAGGCCTCCCCGGAACCTGAGTGATGCAGGGGGGTTCCGCTGCAGGAGGAACGCCACCCTGGGTTGGGGCGCAACAGCCTCCTCCTGGGAGGAGCCGGTTGCCCCCTCTAGGAACGCTGATCCCCCCTGGAGGACACATCACCTCAGTGGCTGTTCAGTATAACCGACTTTCTGTGCGCCCGGGTAATGCTAGCCTCGGTGCAGGGGGATCTGGTCTGCAGGTCCGACCTCTGGGTCCGCAGAGTTCAAACTGTATCCGCCACCCGAGGGAGAGATTTCCCGTCCCCCAATTCACCCACAGGGAGCCCCCAAGCTGGGTCTATGTCCTCTCCAGGCCTCCTGAGTCGAAAAGCTGTTCCTCCCCTGGGAGCACCCGGTGGCCAGCAAACCTGGGAGGCGGGCGGGGGTAAGGCGATGCTCACCAGTCTGAGCTTCCCCCCTGGTCAGGTTTAGGGTCCCAAACGGGAAGGTCCCATTCCCTGGAGGTGCCTCTGGCTGGTGGCTGTATTGTCTCTCTGGGCAGCCACGGGTAGGGTCGGTGGAGGGGAGGAGGAGGCAATATGGCGCCTGCTGCGCGGCTCGGGTCTGTGCACACAGAGGTGCCTGGAGGAAGTTGGGAACCTGGTGCCACGTCTGCTACAGGCTCACCGCTGGCTGGTGGCGACGGTCTCTGGGCTGATGTCTGCAGGTTTCTCCACCCGCTGGGGAGCCCACCAGCAGTCCCAAATGCAGGGGAGGGGAAACAGCAAATCCACCTACCCTTGCCGCTGGTCTCTGGGCTGCTCCGGTGGTCTCAGCCTCCAGTTCTCCTCCACAGCCTCCTCCCGTGGAGTCTCCCGGGGTCTCAGGTACCCCTCCTTCCGGCTCTTGTTCGCTGTATGCTCGTCTTCTTGCTTCTTTCCTCTAATTTCTGCTAGAATCTGTCTTTTCTGCAGAGACATTCTTTCTGCCGGTGTTATTCGTCCGCCATCTTGCTCCGCCCCCCTTCTGGAAACTTATTTTTTAACAAGGATCAGCAAATTACAGAGTAGGGGCCCAGGGTCTGGTAGCTAAGAATGGTTTTTGCATTTTCAATGGCTATTATGTACCCATAATAATAAAAAATTAAAAATTATAAAATAAAATCAATTTGGGCTGTTTAAAAAATAAAGAAGAAATGTGAGACCAATGTGGCCCACAAAGGCTAAACTATTTACTGTTTGTCCCTTTATGGAAATAATTTGCTGAACACTGAGTGGTAATTGGGTGGAAAGCAGTGTGTTGGCTGCAGGTACTAGTAGGTAGGTAGATTTGGTGGTACAAGTCTGTGAAAGTTATGTTCTGATTGATTATATGTCCTCATTTGTGTCATATACATGTATCTTACAACACCAAGCTTGGAAATAAGTTAAACAATATTGAAAACAATTTTGGTAACCCTTACCTTTCTTGTGAAGGGGCACTTCCTTGTTTCTCCTGATGAGTTAGAGGAAGAAAAAGAAGTGGGAAATAATAATTGATAATGAGCTTAAGACAGGACCCTATTTCTTGGCTGGGTGCTTCCTCTAGTATGTTTTGGAAAACTAAGGAGATTTAAGTGTAGAATATGGTGATATTCAACTGGAATTCTGTTAGGCATTTGAGATCCATAGTTTGGAACTTCTGTTTTCATATATATTAGACCAATAGGAAAAATATGAATTTTCTTTTTGTATCCCATAATCCAGCAGTACCTTACTCTTGTAGAAGCTTCTGTACTACAGGATTCATTTTGCATAATCTTAAAAAATTATCAGCCGGGGGCGGTGGCTCACGCCTCCTAGCACTCTGGGAGGCCGAGGTGGGCGGATTGTTCAAGGTCAGGAGTTCCAAACCAGCATGAGCAAGAGCGAGACTCCGTCTCTACTATAAATAGAAAGAAATTAATTGGCCAACTAATATATATATAGAAAAAATTATCCAGGCATGGTGGCGCATGCCTGTAGTCCCAGCTACTCTGGAGGCTGAGGCAGAAGGATTGCTTTAGCCCAGGAATTTGAGGTTGCTGTGAGCTAGGCTGACGGCACGGCACTCACTCTAGCCTGGGCAACAAAGCGAGACTCTGTCTCAAAAAAAAAAAAAAAAAAAAATCAACAAAAAAGCTATATTTATACGTAGGAAATAAATAGTTCTTAGTTAATTTTTATATTGCTAAGCTAAGTGTGTATGGGAATGTAAAGTAGTACAGCTATTATAGAAAACAATGTGGAGGTTCCTCAAAAATCTAAAACTACTATATGATCTAATAATCCCACTACTGGGTAAATCCTAAAGAAAGGAAATCAGTATATCAAAAAGATATCTACACTCTGTTTATTGCAGCACTATTCACAATAACCAAAATATGGAATCAATCTAAGTATCCATTAACTAATGAATGGATAAAGAAAATGTGGTATATATACACAATGGAATATTATTCAGACATAAAAAAGAATGAAATCCTGTCTTTTGCAGCAGCATGGATGGAAATGGAGTCATTATGTTGAGTGAAATAAGCCAGGCATAGAAAGATAAATATTACATGTCCTCACTTATATGTGGAAGCTAAGAAAGTGGATCTCACGGAGATTGAGAGTAGATTAGTGGTTACCAGAGACTGGAAAGGGAAGGGGGAAGTGGGAGACAAAAAGAAGTTGGTTAATGGGTACAAAATGCACTTAGAATGAAGAAGTTCTAGTATTCAATGTACAGTCAGGAAATTATGGTTAACAGTAATTTTTTGTATGTTTCAAAATAGGTAGAAAAGAAGAATTATGGTATTCCCAATACAAAGAAAAGATAAATGTTTTAGGCAATGGATACCCCAGTTACCCTGATTTGAACATTACACATTGCAATGTATACATGTATCAAAGTATCTCCTATATCCCCAAAATATGTACAACTGTTATTAATATATTAATAAAAAATTAAAAAAAGAATTATAACTATTAATAAAAAAAGAATAAAAATGAAACCTAAAGCAAATAGAATTTCTATTTTCAAGGATGATAGCTGGCTTTAAAAAACAATTTTAAAATACAGAATAGCTCACTATCATTTAGATTAATCAATTAGTTGAAATTATTAATGGCAATTGACAATTGGTTCCAGTAATAAGTATCCTAGTCAAGTTAATGTATATTATTCATTTAGGTGGTTGAATCTTAATTTAGAGTAGGTATATTTTGAATGAATCTTTATTAAAAATTTCTAATATTGAATATGAAATTATGAGTTTATTAGTTATAATTCTTTTTGAATTTAATGAGTACTTGGATACAAGTGAATAAAAGCATATGCAACTTAAAAAAACAAAAATGAATCTTCGCTTATGATATTATTTTCTTTTCTTGCTTTTAGTTACAATTTAGAAAGCAGTATATGGAACGTAGGAACTCTGTCAAGGGGACCTCTCCAGAGGTATGGACACTCTCTGGCTTTATATCAGGTATGACTCCTGCTTGTAAAGTTTCAATCAGACAGTTTTAAGAGTTTACCTTAAAGGAAAAAACACTAAATCTCAGATGTATTTCGAATACCTAATGAGAACTATAGATTATGGGGATCACAATAACTGGAGATATCATATACTCATTTAATATTTTATTAAAATAATATATTTTACAATTGCCCATTGGACGTGTAAAGAAATGAAGATTGAATTTTTGTCTATGGCTTTTTGCCTAGTCATCAGGTCAATCCCTTTTTTAAAAAAATTATGATAAAATACATGTAACATAAAATTTACTATTTTAACTATTTTTAAGTATAGAGTTAAGTAGCATTAAGTACATCGATGTTATATAATCATGGCCACCATTATCCTGCAAAACTGAAGCGGTAAGTCCCTATTGCCCCCTTCCCTTAGCCTCTGAAAACCATCATCTACTTTCTATCTCTGTGAATTTGACTACTCTAGGTACCTCATGTAAGAAGTGTGATATAGTATTTGTTCTTTTGTGACTGACTTATTTCCCTTAGAGCTGATATATTCAAAGATCATCCATGTTCTATCACATGTCAGAATGTCCCTCCTTTTTAAGGCTGAATAAATATTACTTTTGCTTTGCAGTAAACATTTTGTTTATCCATTTATCTGTTGATGGACACTTGGATTGCTTCCACCTTTTGGCCACTGTGAATAATGTTTCTATGAAAATGTGTGTACAACTATCTGTATGAGTTTCTGTTTTCAATTTTTTGGGATATATACCCAGAAATGGAATTGCTGGATTATATGGTAATTCTATGTTTAATTTTTTGAAGGAAATGCCATATTGTTTTCCACTGTGACTGCACCTTTTGCATTCCCATCAGCAGTATGTAAGGATTCCAGTTTTTACACAGCCTCACCAACACTTGTTATTTTCTATTTATATTGTTTGATAATTGTCCCTAATGAATGTGAAGCAGTACGTCATTGTGATTTCGACTTACATTTCTCTCATGATTAGTTATGTTGAACATCTTTTTGAGTGCTTATTGATCATTTGTATATTTTCTTTGGAGAAATGTCTATTAAAGTCTTTTGCTGTCTTTGAATTGGGCTGGTTTTTGTTTTTGTTTTTGTTTTTGTTTTTGAGTTGTATGAGTTCTTTATCTATTAAGATATGTTCCCTTTATCAGATATATGATTTACAAGTATTTTCTCCCCATCTGTGGGCTGTTTTCTCACTCTGTTGACAGTGTGTTTGGTGCAAAAAATTTTTAATTTTTTATTTTGATATAGTCCACTTTATTTGTTTTTTATTTTACCTTTGCTTTTGGTATCATACATAAGAAATCATTGCCAAATCTAATGTCATGAAGCTTTTCCTCTATATTTGAAAAGTTTTTAAGTTTTATCTCTTATGTTTAGATCTTTGTTCCATTTTTGAGTAATTTTTGTGTAATGGTGTAAGATAAGGGTCTAATTTCATTCCTTTGTGTGAGGATAGCCAGTTTTCCCAGCATCATTTGTAGGAAAATGTGTCTTTTCCCCATTGAATGATCTTGGCACCCTTGTGGAAAATCATTTAACTCTATTTGTGAGGGTGAATTTCTGGGCTCTCTATTCTATTTTACTGTCTTTATGCTGGTACCACATTGTTTTGATTATTGTAGCCTGTAGCTTTGTAGTAAGTTTTGAAGTCAAGAAATGTGAGACCTCCAACTTTTTTTTTCAAGATTATTTTGGTTATTGAGGGTCCCTTGAGATTCTATAGAAATTTTAGGATGGAGTTTTCTATTTTTGCAAAAAATCTTGGGGTTTTGATAGGAACTGCATTGGAATTAGTTATTTTTATATATTTGTAGGATTCATAAATTTAGCATGATTAAAATGATAGGCCATTTCTCTGGTTTTTGCTTTTGAATCAACAAAAATCCATGTATTTTGTGATCTGTGGCTTCATCTTTTAAAGCCGAATTTATATATTTTCTGTGCTTATGTAAAAAAACTTGAAAAACAGAAGCATTATGAAGAATAAAATACCACTCTTTTTTTCTATGCATATATATTTTAAAATTAAATAAAAATCTCTCTATGTATATATACATATACATGTTATTTTATCTTCTTTTAGTTTTAGTTTTTTGCTTTATCTCTTTTTTTGTAATAGCTTTTTTGAGATGTAATTGATATACCATACAGTTCACTCATTTAAAGTGTAGAATTCAATGGTCTTTAGTATTTTCAGAATTGTGCAACCACCTCTTACAGATTTGTATATGATCACAGAGTTTTGTAATCAATTTTAGGACATTTTTATCACTTCACAAAGAACCTTGTACCCTTTAGCTATCTCCCCAAACCTCCTTATCCTCCCTACTTTAAGCAATCACAAATATACTTTTTTGTCTCTATATGTTTGTCTATTCTGCACATTTCATATGAACAAAATCATATACTATGTGGCTTATGACTGGCATATTTCACTTAGCACAATGTTTTCAAGGTTTATCCAAATTGTAGCATATCAGTGCTTCATTTCTTTTTATGGCTGAATAATATTCTATTTCATGGATATATAACATTTTGTTTATCTGTTCATCAATTGATGGACATTTGAGCTGTTTCTACCTTTTGGATGTTTGAATAATGTTGCCATGAATTTTAGTGTATAAGATTTTGTACAGGGATTTGTTTTAATTTCTTTTAAATATATATATAGGAGTGGAATTGCTGGGTCAAATGGTAACTCTATGTTTAACTTTTTGAAGAATTACAGATTATTTTCCAAAGTGGTTGTACCATTTTACATCTCACCAGCTATGTATAAAGGCTCCCATTTCTTTACATCTTTACTAACACTTGTTAGTATCTGTTTTTTGATTATAGCCATTCTATTGGTGTGAATTGTTATCTCATTGTGGGTTTTTGTTTGGAGACAGAGTCTCTCTCTGTTGCCTGGGCTAGAGTGCTGTGGCATCAACCTAGCTCACAGCAACCTCAATCTTCTGGGCTTAAGCAATCATTCTGCCTCAGCCTCTCAAGTAGCTGGGATTACAGGCATGTGCCACCATGCCTGGCTAATTTTTTCTATATATTTTTAATTTTCCAGTTAATTTCTTTCTATTTTTAGTAGAGATGGGGTCTCACTCTTGCTCAGGCTAGTCTTGAACTCCTGACCTTGAGCCATCCTCCTGCCTTGGCCTCCCAGAGTGCTAGGATTACAGGTGTGAGCCACTGCACCTGGCCACTCTCATTGTGGTTTTGATGTGTATTTTCTTGTTGACTAATGCTGTCGAGCATCTTTATATGCTTATTTGCCATTTGCATATTGTCTTTGGAGAAATGTCTATTCAAGTCCTTTGCCTACTTTAAAATTAGATTATTTTTCTTTTAATTATTGAGTTGTAATGGTTCTTTATATATTCTAGGTATAAGTCCCTTATCAGATGTATAATTTGCAAATATTTCCCTCCATTTTCTCTGCTGTTTCACTTTCTTGATGGTATTTTTTGAAAAGTATAATTTTTTTTTTGTTTTGATAAAGTGAAATTTATTTTTGCTTTCCTTTTGTTGCTTGTGATTTTGGTGTCCTATCTAAGAATTCACTGCCAAATCCCATGTCATAAAGATTTACCCTAATTTTTATTTTAAGAGTTTTATAGATTTGACCCTTACGCTTAGTTCTTTGACCTATTCTGAGTTAAGTTTTGTATACGGTATGCAGTAAGGGTTCAACTTCATTTTTTTCCATGTGACTATCCAATTTTCCTAGCACCATTTGTTGAAGAGATTATGCTTTTCTCTTTTGAATGGTTTGGACACTCTTGTCAGAAATCAATTGGCCACAGATATGTGGGATTATCTCTGGACTCTCAGTTCTATTCAACTGATTTATTCTAGCAGTACTCTGTCTTGATTACTTTTGCTTTGCAGTAACTTTTTGAGAAGTGTGAGTCCTCTGATTTTGTTCTTTTACGAGATTGTTCTGGTGTTCTGCAGTTTTCAATTCTATATGAATTTTAGAATCAATTTGTTAATATCTGCAAAGAAGCCAGATGAGATTCTGATAGGGATTGTGTTGAATCTGTAGATCAATTTGGAAAGCATTGCCATCTTAATAATGGAGAGTCTTCTGACCCATAAACATGAGATGTGTCTTTCCATTCATTTAGATCATTTAAAAATTTCTTTCAACAATGTTTTATAATTTTCAGAGGATACATTTTGTTAAATTAATTCCTATTTTATTCTTTTTGATGCTTTTGTCAGTGAAATTGTTTTCCTAATTTCAGTTTTGGATTGTATGTTGCAAGTGTTTAGAAATACAATTTACTTACATACATTGATCTTATATCCTGCAGTATTGCTGAACTCATTTATTAGCTCTAAGTGTTTACTTTTATTTCTTAGGATTTCCTATATACAAGATTACATTATCCATGAATAGAAATATTTTACTTCTTCCTTTCCAATCTGGATACCTTTATTTAGTTTTTGCTTATTTGTCCTAGCTAGAACTTCCATTACAATGTTGAATAGAAGTGGCACAAGTAGGCATCCTTATGTTATTCCTGACCTTAGCGGAATGCATCCATTCTTTCACCATGAAGTATAATGTTAGCTGTGTGTTTTCCTTAGCTATGCTTTATCATGTTGAAGAAGTTCTCTTCCATTTTTAGTTTGCTGAAATAGTGATGACATATCACTTATATATTATTTATTTTCATTGCATGGAATTGAAATTATTTGTGTAATTTGTAAGTACTGTAAAGATTTGCCAAAGGTGAACTGAAGGCAATGTAGCATCTGTCTATAGCCATGAGAAATGGTAATAAAAATGTACTCTACATGATGCAAAAATGTGGTCTACCTTTTTGGCGAACAGCACTTGATGAAAACAGTGAATAATTGAGAACACCACAAAGAAGTACAAATGGACGGTAAAATTCATATATAACAACTAGGGATTCAAATCATTCAAATATTGAAAAGACTGTCTATCAGTAATGTTAATCAGCAACTTAGTCTGTTACTTTTTTGTTGTATGGAAGGAGTAATTATTGTTATAGAACTATCTTACTCTTTAATTTTAAGTTCTTAATTAACTTATTGCATTTTTTATTCTCCCAATAGTACTTTAGTGTTCTCTTCCTATATGATATTTAAGAATATACTTAATTGACTATATAGTATAATAGTTTTGAATAAAATCTCTTAAAATAACTTTTTGAAAGCTTGGATATTTCCCCCCTTTGTGTATGTAAAAGTATTACTCATGTGCTCCCAGGTGGCTTTTACAAATCAGAACTATGCCTTATGCATGTTGTGAGCAGCTACTAAAATTTAATGTTTAAATTTAGCCTTTATTTTGAATTAATATATATTGCTAAGAAATAATTCCATTTTGTCTATTAATATATGTATTTTAATTTACAGGAAAACATCTTTATGTATGGAGGCAGAATTGAAACAAATGATGGCAATGTCACAGATGAATTATGGGTTTTTAACATACATAGTCAGTCATGGAGTACAAAAACTCCTACTGTTATTGGACATGGTCAGCAGTACGCTGTGGAGGGACATTCAGCACATATTATGGAGTTGGATAGTAGAGATGTTGTCATGATCATAATATTTGGATATTCTGCAATGTATGGTTATACAAGCAGCATACAGGAATACCATATCTGTGAGTTACTTTAAAAATGTAATTTCTCTATTGGTTGAGAATATTTTTATCTTTAATAAAATCTTCCTTTGAGTTTAGTCAAAATGATGAGTTGAAATTGAAATTATAAGCTAAGAATTAATTGTTAATATGCATGTTTTGATTATGTTAGATTTTTGTCCTTTAATATTTAAGCTTATCTTCTTAGTCAAACTAAGGGAAATGTTACATACTAGTCTCATTTTCCAAGATTTGAGAATATTTTTAAATATGAAAGATTCCAATAGGTGGTGCTATTTCTTTGGATTTTACTTATGAATCAAGAGCTGAAATTGACCCAATCTCTTTACTATGCATTACGTGATTTCAAGATTTTTCATTTTTCAGCATTCTATTCCCAATCTTATTGCTATATCTTTATGTACATATTACTCCTTTAAAATAAGCTTCCTAAGAATAGTCTGTTGGCTTCTATAAGAGATTCTTATCTGGTGTGTGAAGGTGACTAGGGCATATGGCTTTCTGTACTATACTTTTATTCTTTTTTGTTTCTCTGGTATGTTATGTTTTTGAATTCTTTATGAGATTTTCAAATAGTGGTAATGTTTTTGTTGTTTTTAATTTGTCTTCATATGTATGTCCTACAGTCACTATTCAGATTCAAGAACATACCCCATTTGTGACTCTGGCCTGTATTAAGAACTCAAATTCTTTGTTCTTTTGTGTATGGACAGCTGTATATACAACTATTTAGAGTCCTTGTGCAGTCTTAATGAGAAAACTCATTTGCAGACCACCATTAGCAACAATAGAGTGCTTGTGTACTCAGAGGGAGACTCCCCTTCTAAATACTCCAATATTGGTTTCCCCTGCAGTACTTTCATGTGATAGCTGTTTTTGTTTTCATATCTTCAGTCCAGCTGGGTTGAAAGCAGGATATGTATCCTCCTTATTTCTTATTGCCATTTCCACTCTATTCTCAATCTCGCCCCCTTTAAATCACCTGGCTTTGAATCTCATGTCATTAGACTATACTACCTGTTTCTTGAGGCAAGAGTTGGGTTTTGGTTCGTGTGATTCCCGTCTGTTTTTTGTACATTTCCTGTACATGTTTTATATTTTAAAAAGTCATTCTGTTGTTTTTTCTTGTTGTTTTTTTACTTTCTTGCACTCATTTTTTGCTCCTCAGATTGCTGTGTTTTATTTCTTGAAGAATTTAGTTTCTGGCTTACTGTCATTCTTTCTAGCATATAATCAAATATTTTGATGATTGAAATATCCATTTAAATACCTTTTCTAATACCTGGCCTGCCAATTTCTTGATATCTTCAGTAAAGATCTTGTTTTCCATCCTACTTAAACCACTTTCTGCCATTATCATACTCTTGACCTTGTCATTCCAGTACCTGCAATGAGTCCCAAAATTTCCATTTTCAAATATTTTACTGTTCAAGTACCCCTGATCTCCCAGCTTACTGATTCTAGTACCCACACTGACTGTTCTTTGACCTTACCAGAGTCTTTAGTCCATTGAACCTCCTATCAGTTTTTCCACTCTCTCTCACTCTCTCTCTTCCATATTTCTAAACTTACGCAGCTTTAACTTCATAATTACCAATATCAAGTTATTCTTTAATGCTGTGTGGTACTTACCCATATTTAAGGTTTATAATTACCGTTCTCAAGTTGGCTTTTATGTTGTCTTGAATTTCTGCCAGTCTAGCTTGGTCTCTTCCAGCTCTCTCCTTTATGACTATTATACATTTCCTCTGTTCTCAAACTTCTAACCCTTCTCTATCATTACTCTCAGCTGATGACCTCCCTTCTTATTTTACCAAGAAAATAGAAGTAATCAAAAGAGAACTACTGATGGGTACATGCTGGAGTGTAAAGACAGTTAGCAATGCTGCATTGAAGAAGCGTGCTTACATACATCACCGTTATAACAAACTCATGATAACATTGAAGCAAATGTGGCTCAGTTATTCTAATTTTTCAGATGGGCCCAGGGGTTGTTTAAGCAAGAATTATAAATTTTCTGTGTAGAAGGGCTGTTTTGTTTTCTGAATCTGTTATTAGTTTTTGGTTTTATTATTCAGGAAATGTAGGTATAAGTTATACATTTTTGTAATTTATTGAAATTTTCTTTGAGTGGCCTAATTTATATAAATATTCTATAGGCACTTGAAAAAAGATAAATCCTTATATAATATCAAAGTAATATAAAATATATAAATGCTTATATATATTTATAAAGTCTACTTTATTGATTATATTGTTTAGGCCTTCTATTAACTACTTATTTTGTTTTGTACATGATCTATCTTGCTCTGAAAGTTGAATTAAAATTTTAAAATTTTAGTCTATTTTTGCCTATTTCTCTATTTCCCTTGTATATTCTAGAATTTATGTTTTATGAAACTTGGTGGTATAGGTATTAATAAGTATTAGATGTTTGTTGTGATTATATTATGTTATAAAGTGATTTGGCTTGTTATAAAGTGTTATAAAGTTAATGTTATAAAGTGATTGGCTTGTTAATGTTTTTTGAGCTGAATTCTACCTCATCTGTTATTATTAATAATATTATGGCCCTTTTTTTTATTTTTTTCCTTTTTGTCAGTCTTTTCCTGGTATACCTTTACTCATTACATTATCATTATTGTTTAGTGTTACAGAATCACTTTGTTTTAAATGTGTTTCTTGAGGACAGAGTTGGGTTTTGCTTCGTGTGATTCCCATCTGTTTTTTGTACACTTCCTGTACATCTTTTATATTTTAAAAAGTCATTCTGTTGTGTTTTTTTTTGTTGTTGTTGTTGCTTTTAATTACAGCTCTTCTCATGTTTAGGCTCCCTTCCTCCCTTATTTTTCCTTTTCTGATGAGTGTGGAAATTTTTGAGATCAGCTACCGTTAGTTTCCTCCATGCTCTTTGTTTCTCATCTTTCTTTCTGCATTGTTGTGGCTTTCTCTATCTGGCTGTCTTGGTTTCACTTGCTTCTTGAACATTCATACCTAATCTGGAGTTGGTGGGGAATTTTCTTTTTACCCTCCTAATTTCTCTGGAAATACAATTTTCTTTTTCTTTCACTTTACCCACTTCCCTCATATTTTGCTCTTGTTTTATGTCTTCCCTGAAGAGCATGGGAAGAGTCAAAATTAACCTATCACAACTATCACCATGCTTTTACTTGAAACATAGGTTCTTTTTTTGAGACAAAGCCCCACTCTGTTGCCTGGGCTACAGTGCAGTGGTGTTATCACAGCTCGCTGCAATCTCAAACTCCTGGGCTCAAGTGATCTTCCTGCCTCAGTCTTCTGTAGCCTCTGTAGCTATGACTACAGGTGCATGCCACCATGCCTGGCTAATTTGCAGTCCTCCTGCTTTGAGCTCCCAAAGTGCTAGGATTACAGGTGTGAGCCACCATGCCCCACTGAAATATAGGTTTTGACTTTTGAAGTTTTAAAATGAATACTTAAGTTTTAGTAAAGTTAACCAATACTTTTTCTCTTTTATCAATTTATAGACTATTGTTTTCCAATGTTTTAATTAATTTTGTTTTGTTTCAATCACAAATGACATTATTATCATTATTTAATACCAGGAGCCAGCAAAGTTCTCTATAAAGGGGCAGATAGTAAATATTTTAGGATTTGTGGGTTGTATAGTCTCTGTCACAACTAATCAACTCTGCTGTTGTAGCATAAAAGCAGTCACAGACAATACATAAATAAATGAGCATGGTTTTGTTCCAATAAAGATTTATTTACAAAGCCAGGTGGCTAGATTTAGCCCTTGGGCCTTACTTTGCTTATTCCTGCTCTTGGGAGAGAGAAAGTATGCTTCTGGGGCTCTACCGACCCTGGTCCAATTTAAATTAAAATTTGACATGCAGTTGTTTTGGACATTATATGTAGGGAGATTTCCTACCCCAAAGTGGGCATGGTATCTAGTCCATGGCCAAAAGTTCCCAGGGGAACAATTGTTTTCTCCATGTGGAGCCAAGGCTGAAACAGATGATTTCTGTCTGCTTCTGCACAGAAGATTTTTAAAAATTCACCTTTTCACTGAGGTTGTACCTTTTTAAGCATCTGATTTTATGTAGACGTTCCCTGATCCAGTACCTACATGGGCTCACATTCAAAATGGCCATTAAAACTAAATCTCTAGGCCATCTGATTGGTATATACCTTCCCCAATGAATATAGTTTATGCTTTATAGTACAGAATATATTTTACCCTTTTCGCATTTCTTTTTATTAAATTATAGTCTCATTCAGCCATGAGGCAAAGTGGTGGTTGTGAATTCCATGGATGTCCACGAACTTCAACAGATTTATTCTAATCGACTATGAATGGTAAATGTTGATACATATTGTTAGGTGATAAATCATTGGCTGGTAGGTTTTTGTTTTCATTTTGAGATAATCTGATTATAGAATGTCAATTGTAGTTTCAGTGAATTTTAAAATATTTCTATATTGAGTTCCTTTTCTACAATACTCTGTATTGAGTCTTATTCTACAACCAAAATACTATTTCTAAATAAATTTACCAATAGAGTATTTTTGGCTTGATTTTTATCTTATTAATTGCATTACTTTATAGGCATACTTAGGAATGTAGCATAAAATGGAAATGGGGAAATACATGATTTATGAGTTTTATAAGAGTAACAAATGAATTATGGGCATTTTTAAAATTCTGTGAATTATTTAAATACAAAATTAGATCCATCAACTTTTCTGTAAAATTATATCTTAATAGCAAAATTAATTTATACTTTATTTATTTGTTAAGCATTTTGAATTTGCTACTTAAATTTTGAAAGTATGCAGTGTCAAAAAAGTAATCTATAAGTACTTTCACTTTGAAAAGTACTTACAAAGAAAATAATCCAAAAGAATGGGTAAATATAGTTTAAAGATGCTGTCAGAATAATTAAGTTCACTATAGGAAAGTACTACTTTAGGAAATGATACCATATGAAGTAGGGTTGATTTGAATATAAGTAATGGGA